TATACATTTATCTTGTGTTTTCTAGTAAAATAACATTTTTTGTGGACCAGCCTAAACCTAATGGACTTTTTCTTTCAACATAAAAATTGAATTTCTCAGTAACTCCAACATCAATACATCTCAGATACCATGAGTTGGAAGTTCAGTCCCAAACACTTTATCTTCATGCATTTTAATCTCAGTCTCTCGAATCCTCAGATATCTCAAAAGTTTCTTGGCCCCACTGAGTTCAAGTAAGTTTTTACTATTTTTGTAGCAATATACAGTGCTCCCTCGGTATATTGCCAACTTTTGTCCAAGACAGATTTTGGCATTAAAGCGAGGGTGGCAATATAACGAGTTCTGTCATAAATTACAATGCAATGAACCCAGTTCAAGATGAATACGTAATTTATTTTAGTTAAAATCAAATGTCATGCTTTTGTGCGTGTGTACATACATATACACTCAAGCGCAACTTTCATTTCTTCCGGAAAAAAGTCATTAATGTATTTGTTTTTAAAATGAAATGAAAATGTCACAATATTACGACATTTTTCAATTTCCCGCTCTTTCGCTTTCTGTTGATCCTGGGTCGAAGAATTTAACAACCAAATGATAATGGTGTCAATAGCAGTTATAGTCTCTCGGTATACAAAAGTTTTTGAGGTTTATCGTCAATATCATCTGAATCAGAAGTAGATTATTTCACCATCTCAATAATACTAGATCAGTTAAAAAAGTTCGGTAACAGACGAATGGAAAGTCACATGCCAGGGTACATGTCTAGATCTTCATGAACCTGTTGTAATATACACGTATTCTCATGTTTGCTAGTACCTGAGTACTTTCTCTTCTTAATCTGTTTTGATATTCATCAATCAATCCATTATGTGTCCAACAATTGATGACTGTTTCAGGGGTAACGGAATCCCATGCTATTTTCATGTGCGGAATTATAGTAGTCTAAAAATAGAGATGGGATTTTCTTAGAATTTAGAATTTGGTTTTTTGATCTATGGGGAATAAAATGATTTTTTCATTTATTATGGCCTGGTTCGGTGAAAGCAACAATCGGCGATTTACAGTTAAATAAAATGTACAATTATTTGTTTGGGTTTATTTTAAATTTTCGTTTGTAATCTAAATTTGTACGCTTTCTCTTCCCTGACTTTCCCATTATTGTGATGAAATAATACTTCTATCTTATAAAAACAACACAAAAGAAATTGATAATTTTGAGTTTTATAAAATGATTATCTTTAATTTAGCTGAACTCCTTGTTCAGCTAGTCACGCTTCACCGCAACCACTGTCAAAGCACGGATGTGACGTCCAAATTACCGACGCGTGCTAGATAATTGGCATTGTTACCGAGGGTTTTCCTTATATAATTTGACCTTTTGTTTCCCCAAACTAGTGGCGGATGGCAATAAGCGGGGGTGGCAATATAACGGGTGTATTAACACAGGGGGAAATCCGTTCTTGGAGAATTCCTGGCAATAAGCGGGGGTGGCAATATAACAGAGGGCAATATACCGAGGTAGCACTGTACCATTGTCACCTGCATATGGAGTTTATGTCTCCCAGTTAATTTGATACATAAGAGTATGCTCTTCTTATGAACAATTTCTAAAATGAGGCAAGCTACTGACAAATAAGTTGATCAAACAAAAATATCTACAGTCTCATTTAAAGTCAACAATTCTGTGGTTGAAACAATGACCTTGTCAGCAAATACAAACTATCATTAACTAAAGTCGAATGTTGACTGACATTTTTCATACAAATTGTTAAGCTATTATTTTCACACTGAATTGTCTACGAATCTTTCCGTTTGCCCAATCATGACAAGGAGCACAAGCCAGTTGTGACCGGTCGACAGGGGATGATTACTTCTCTATAGAACCTGATCCCACCTCTGCTGATTTTAGAAGTCCGTGTTTGCTCTGCTCCCGATTTTATTGTTTCAATGGACTTTTGAGCTTTATTACTGTTTGTTATCTTCCTATTTCATACTTGGATGCATCTGTTTTTAAATATAAATGATAACTAGTCAAGGTTGAAAAAAATATAATAAAGAGATGACTTTGCTCAATACTTGTCATGTTAAATGTAAATATTTCTGCATCACATTCACCAAATATATATTTACACCAATTTGTCAGTCTATTTGCATTATCTTAATCATATCAGGGCCCTAGGAAAAAAAAAATGAGATTTTTTTTTAAGGATTCAAGATTTTGAGGTTAAAATAAAAAAAAATAAATAAAAATTAAGAAAAGTGTTTTGGACTTCAAACTCACAACAACATATTATATCCATGGTATTTGTGATACTGATGTTCAAGATATGGAAGTTCAACTGATACAATTATACATGACATTTAAGCCACATCACCAGTTGAAAGCTGATCTGTTAAAAATTAATATTTGAGACCTGGCCAGGTTTCCTCTAGCTTTCAAACACCTTTTAAAGTCTTCAGTTGTTTCATGAGTATAATTAAATATCTGCATGTTCGAGCTGCTATGAATCTTGTGGATATTTCTTAAGTGCATATAAAAGTTAGATTACATGATGCAATATGTAAATACATTTTTTTTTATACATTTGAAATGCAGATTAATTTTTCAGTTATCAATGATTAGAAATGGCAGAATACTTGCAGTATATATGCTTGAATTATTAAATGATGACATACTCAAAAAGATGTCTACACTGGTTCTTATTAATTAATATACACACAGAGTAAATCATGAAACATATCTGGCACTACAGTGTGTAGGACTGTTAATTAATTCATAGTGGTATTTTCTGCACATATTGAATAATCTTAATTAAAAAAGTGAATTTTGTATGGTCTTTAAGCTTAGGTAGTATTAAACATTTAAGTATAATTATTGTTATTTATTAATATAAACTTCCAAATATCATACAATAAAACTGATACAATTGCACAATCTCTTTCATCTGCAATTTGAGTTTTACTGTTGCCATATATATACACTATTTTTAGACAAACAGAAACAATGCTATAACAACCTTTGGTTACTAACCCTGGCACTTTGCTTAATTATAGATAAAACTGATCACCACCCCCATTTATCATCATGCAGTGATTGCTAGTGTAATCTAAGAGTGGAATCTGGAGATAATTAAATTGCACCCATACTGCAAAGTTTATTTCCTACTAAATTATCTCTGGTCAAAACCAGTGTTGGATAAAAAAAAAAAATACCAAGCAAAATTTTGGTCAACACAAATTTGATTAATTAATTAAATCAAATCAATAAAAAAAAAAAAAAAAAATCTAAGAAGTTGGATAATGCATCAATACTAGGCGTAGCAGGGGTAGCATATCCTTCTGCAAAACTGACCATGCAGAATCATATTTTACACATCAGGGATCGACATTAACGGTTGTCCGATTGCCCAGGACAAGTAAATTCTCAGTTCGGGCAAGCGAAATTGTTGACGTACTTGTCCGATCGGGCAAGTGAATTTTTCTCATACAAATATACATATTTATTTAGTTTACCTTAATTTATAAATAAAACAATAAATTGAACACTTGATTTCTGCCACGGACCTGACTGACAATGTTTTTGTATTCGGAATTCCTTGGTAGCGTTTCTGGATTATACCACTCATTTTAAAAATCGGGTTCATTATTTTCTTTTGTAGTAAATACGCTCTACGTCTAACAAAATTTTGTTAACTTCTTATTAGGAATTTATTTATTCAAGCATAGCATATAAGTATAGTGTAACACGATGTATCCTGATCAAGATAAGATGTATGTTTTGTAGCAACTATCTTCCTTAAGCGTTGCTTCACACTTATCTCTGAAAGCACAATCACAAAAGGATCCTACTGAAAATAATTTTAAAAATAGGAATTTTATGAAAAGGAAACTGAGGGTTATTGTTGCATGGCAGAGTGTGTTAGCAGGTTAAATTTAGAAGCACAGTGGTATTCATTTATGTACAAATGCAGCATGTATCGACATTTTTCAGGTACTAGTAGCTCAACTTGCCAAATTGACAGTAGTGTACTTGGTCACATTTTTTCTTACCATAACGTTTACAGTAATTAATAATTTTCTTTTTAACTTCTTTCCTTATTTTGGACAACCAAGTTTTGCATTCGGACAAGTCAAAGTTTGAGATCACTTGCCCGAAGGGCAAGTTAATCTGAAAGTTAATGTCTATCCCTGCACATATCATTTTATCTTATATTTTTGTCTCAGTCTTTACTGTCATTTTCAAAATATTTCATGTGATGGAGATCATCATAATTTTATCCACCCACGATCAAAAAGACTTTAATCCTTACGCACAAGTCAAAGTTCTTACGATTTATTTTCCATTGTTTTAAGTTAATTAAATTAAAAAAGTGGAAAAGAAAATTAGATTGGATATTTGAATCAATGTGAAAATCAAGTGTATATATATAAAAAAAAATCCCTAACTTTCCAATTTAAACTCCATGTTTGGGTTTTCCTTTCTAGCAATAACATTATTGTTTCTCAAAGGGGCATTTAGATATCCCTGTAACTTAAGATAATTTGGCAGACCTGATAAATCCTCCTTTAATACGGGAAAGCTGTTTCCATTACCCATGTAAATTACAAAAGGAATCCTCCAGTTGTTTTTCTTCACCCTAATTCCTCCCGTTTTTTCTTTTCAGTCCTAATCAGGCACAGCTTAAAGCTTGGAATGAAAACAGCTAACAATTTCATGTTATCCATGCTTCTAGCTTGCATTAGACTGTATTTCAAAATAGAAATTTTTAATGATTCCGGAGACTTAATTGATTCTAGGACTGCTTGTCAATTGGCCATCTTGAAAGATCATAGCTACCCTTGGGCAGTCAGTAAAAAAAATTCTTCCCATAATATTTTGTCCCCAAACACTAATGACCCTCTTTAAGTGATTATAGTGGGCTGCTGGTCAGGAATTGATTTGTTTTCCTCACTATCACCCTAATTAAACATTTCTATATTTTCTTTTTGTTTTGCAGGACTATTTATTGGACAGACACTGGGATAGACTTCATTTCTTACAGGTAGGTCACATGTCCTTCTAATTTTACCGACTTCTTAGGTAGATATAAATATTATCGGAGGGATTATAACATGTTTGTTTACATCTCATAATACTCTACTTCTGTTTCTTTCATCTTTGGAAACAGGACGTTGCATCATTATCATGTTTATTACATCTTGATAATTAACAGAACTTATGACTTAATTTCTGATAGGTTTCATCATTGAATATGTTTTTGATGTTAATGGATGTTATGCTGAACTGTTCAGAAAAATGGACCTCCCTTATGAGGTGTCTAAAAATGTATCTCCCTCTTTTGCGATGCAGAAAGGGAGATTATCACAGTACTGACTAGAGTAGAATTTTAATCTCCGAGTGAGAATTGTTTGACCGCACTGCATTAAACTCACACGGTAATTGTATTCAAAAATACAACTATTCTGACTGAATTTTTAGGAATAACCTAAATAAGAAATTCTTTCTAATAAAAAACATCATTGAAAAACATTAAAATTATTGAAAACACATGCAATGATAGAAATATATTGATATCTTAATCTAATCATGAGTCCTGTTAAGTGGTATCTTGGTGGTTTTAACAGTATTTACCACTAAATTCATGCCGAGAATTCCATTATTCAAAGAGATCAAGAAGTTTGACCAAGCTGAACATATTCTAAACATCCACTTAGGAAATATATATACTCCACAGAATGACATGGATGATTCGGATATACAACAGAAGTGTCTGCACTTTACTTAATCAATTATTTGGAGAGTTTGGGTTGGGGATAAATAGAAATGTCTGTCAAGAGGAATACCCCCCCCCCCCCTCCCCACACACACATTCCTTTTGCTAGTTACCGGTAATTGAATGAGTTCAACAACACTAACACTAATATCTGGGATTAAATACAGAATTAACATATAAATGTAGTAATTAATATTTTTGGATTAATTAAGATTTCTTTTTTTAGACCATCCGTATATAGTCTATAACCATCAAACATTGTGCTGCAACAGAATCTGAATTTGCAGCCTTAATTCATATCTTTTAAAGCAACACTTAAAGTTATAAGTTATTTGTTTGTTGATGCTTTATTTAATACTCCAGTTTTTGTTTTACAAACAGATGAATATTTTCTGTTCATGTATACATCTGTTTTAAGTGAGCACATGCACAGCTCTCTTTCATACACCGGAGTTGGTGAAGTAAAAATTATAGCTCAAGAGCAGTTCCCTCAAATAACTTAGTAACAAATAGTTATAGATTTTCAAATCCTATATATAATCTTTTAATTCTGGACCTTCAAGTTTTTAGTGTATCATTGAAACTGCAGTCAGACCAGCACAGAAAACTTTTCCTGAATGAATGTAATAACTTTTTTGAATTTGATCCATTCAATTGAGTTACAATCAATTTCAAATATAACTGCAGTCTCTTGAGCTATGAAATAAATACATATATTTAATTAATTCTTGAAAAATCTTTGAATCTGAAACAAACCTAAGAAACCTTGCACATAAGAACTGAAAGAATGATAGAATGAGTTAATTGGTTTTATCACAATTAATATCTTTCAGTTTTACCCAGTAAAATGTATAACAAAATGGTATATGATATCAATCTAGCCAAATTTGCTGCAGATTTCAAAATCCCCTCAGCCATCCCTGATTCCTACGTGCGATTTATACTTCACAGATAACAGGGCGTCAATAACAATTTTCGATACCAGCACTGATTCCAACACCATGCTTTTTTCACTCCTCTATATTGGCTGGCTAAATGGCAAATTAGGAAAGTCTGAACATCAAAAAGATAATTTTAACTGCAATTTAAAAAATCAATGTCAGATTTGATGTTGGCAATTTGCTGTTTAAGATAGACAAGACAAATACTCCTGATGATTATATTTAAGCAGTAAACTACGTAAATTCTACCATATCTTATCATAAACTGCCAATTAAAGCTAGTACATGTAGTATCAATGACATTAATTAATCTATAAAGAGCCTGCATACAAGACATTTGATTATACAATTTTTTTTATCATGAATGAAAAATATATTGAAAAATGTAAATTAATTTCATGATTATTCATGATTTCAGTTGGGATTGTGAATTAATTGATATAAACTTATGGTTATTCAACTCAAGAATTGATGTACAAAACTAATGCCATTTTCTTATCACAACTATCGAAATTAATGAACATATTTGCATTTAGCTTTAAGCTTGATCAAGTTCTTTTCATCAAATAATGCCCCCAGAAAGTGACTAAACTTATGTTTCTGGAAGTAATATGAAGTATTATTTATGTTAGGTTCACATGCATTCACATTATCAACCGAGTATCATAACAAGTTTGTCTCAAACAACCATTAACACTTCCTGCAATAATTTTCAATTAATTATTCTTATAGTGTAAAATATAACTCATTAAACCCAAAGCCGTGCTTGAGTGACCACATGACAGGGCCGATAACTACAATATAACTACGTAAAAAGCATTTACACCCTAATCAGTAGTTAATTAAGTGAAACAACTGTAAATCAGACTACATATGGTGCAGTGCCCGATGGTTTATTTGCATGCAAATGTTGTATCATGTCCAGACAGAAAATTAACAAGATATTAACATGCATTCTCTGTAAGCACCAAAAAAATTACTATAGGGCTTGGAAACGACATCTCTCCGATTTTGATGAAATTTGCACCACAGGTGCAGCTTGGCACAAAACTAGCAAATATGGTGTTAGAAGTTTCACACGTGCACCCGGTTGCCATGGAGATGGATCCATTGAATTTGGCCATGTTTGGCCCTTTTTGACCAAATGAAAACATGAAAATTGAGGAAATGTAAATGAATTTTTATCTTTACGTAGTAAACTCAAACATAAATCATTGTATCATAAGAAAACATCAACTTTTAAGGTATACAGGGCATATAATCGGTTATTCCAGAATTATTCCCACTCTAAGAAAAAGGTCCTGTAAAATGACCTAGTTTCTGAAAATGTGTAAAATGGGAAATTTGGTATTTTTTGAGAACTTTAAGGTTAAATAAAAAAAATTGTCTATGGAAAATTTTCAAATCTTATGTGTGTTTTCATACTTCAGAATTAGGAGTGTCACCTCATGAAAAAATTGGAGTGGGATCTCAATACTATTTTTAGTAACATGTATCTATAAATAGACATATTTCAGAAAAATCTAAAAAATCAAATTTGGGCAGAGTTTAAGATGCCATTGTTAGGTATTTAAGAAATATACTGTAAAAGTCAATATGTTAATGACAGAAACTGGACACCAATAACTACTATGCATATTATTTGAAGGGAGTTCCGTTTTCTATTTATAGCTTCAAATGCCGTAAAATAGACATGTCTCATAATATGTGTAAAAATGACTATTTTCTATCATTTAGAAGCTCCACTAAAACATAAGTGATAAACATACTGCTCTAACCAATATTTCATCAATTAGAACAAGGGATAATACAATAACTCACACATTATTGAGGATAGGCTCTCATTTCTATAAATAGTACAAATGTCTAAAAATAGACACATAGGAAATTAATGACGAAATGTAGATTTTTGCACTATTTCTCACATTAGAGATGAACAATTTGCATACTCACTGTCATTAACTGTAACTGACATAATGTGACTGACAAGTACAGGAGAGCATTAACTGAAATGCAGAATAATAAGCGGAGGTTTCCATTTCTATTTATAGTAACAATTGTTTTAAAATAGACATTCTACAAATTATCAAGAAAATGTAGAATTTTGCACTATTTTCTCACATTAGGGATGGACAATTTGCAGACAAACTGCTATTAACTGTTAATAACATAAGGGGAACAACAAGTACAAGAAAGCATTAACTGAAATGCAGAATAATAAGCGGAGGTTTCCATTTCTATTTATAGTAACAAACGTTTTATAACTATTGAAAAAATGTAGAATTTTGCACTGTTTCTCACATTAGGGATGGACAATTTGCAGACTAACTGCTATTTACTGTTATTGACATCAGGTGACCGACAAGTACAAGAGAGCATTAACTGAAATGCAGAATAATCAGTGGAGGTTTCAATTTCTATTTATAGCAACACATGTGTAAAAATAGACAAATTGCAAAAAATCAAGGGAATATAGATTTTCGCACACTAGGAATGGACATTTTGCCGATTAACTTTTACTAACTGTTATTGACAAAAGGTGAATGACAAGAACAGGAAAGCATTTACTGAAATGCACAATAATCAGCGGAGGTTTCGATTTCTATTTATAGCAACATACGTGTATGTCTAAAAATAGACATATTGGAAATAATCAAGGAAATATAGATTTTTGCCCTATTTCTAACATAAGGAATGCTCAATTTGCAGACTAACTATTATTAATGTAATGACTGACAAGAACAAGAGAGCATTAGCTGAAATGCAAAATAATCTGCGGAGATTATTTCCATTTCTATTTATAACACCAAATACTTAAAAATACATATGTCTCAGCATATGAGAAAAAATGAAATTTTCCCCCAATTACAACCTTCACAAAAATATTTAAAATAACATTGCTCTCTAAAATATGCCATCTTCAAGTACATGTGGTCATACAACACTTCACACATTAATGAGCATGGGGTCTCCATTTTTTATTAGGTCACCTGAGTCACTCAGGTGACCTATTGCTATCCGTTCTCGTCCGTCGGCGTGCGTCGTGCGTTAACATTTGAACATTTTTAGCTTCTTCTCTGAAATCGCTTAACCAATTTCAACCAAATTTGGCATATAGCATCTATCGGTGAAGGGGAACAAAAATTGTGAAATTCATGGTCCCTGCCCCCCTGGGGCCTGAGGGGTGGGGCTAAAACCACCAAAAATAATGCAATCTTTAAAAATCTTCTTCTTTACTCCTGGACATCAAGCAGTCAAACTGTTGGCATCATTGTAATAAGCATTGAGCCCTCTACCAAAATTGTGAAATTCATGGCCCCAGGGTCA